CAATCATTTCTCTGCCATTTAGTAATATTTAACAACTAATTTGCCCCTCTTATCTCTTTTCATGGCCTTTTCCCACCTATAAAATGGGCTAACTACATTTTTACCTTTTTGGAGTTGGGGAAGTTTGGGGGTTGCAGAAAGAGGTGTTTTCACTTATCTACTCAAGTGTGCTTCTATAAACAAGTCACTATTATTGTCTTCTTATGAAGACTATCTGCCTCTTTGCTCTAACACCTACCACTAAAACTTCAAGGCCCAAGGCAAGAGGAAGTATACTCTTCACTGTTTACGTCATTATCAAGGTCGACTCACTCCAGATCTATGCCTCTATGCCATCCTGTACACAGAGCCAAGACTTGTTTTGTTGCTGGGGAAATCCCCCATCTGCAAAGGTGTGTGTCCGTGTGACAATTCAGAAGAAAGATCCCTACATACATCTCAATTATTCATGGATTCTTTGTTTCGGGTCTGACAAGTAGAGAGAGAAAACAGAGCAAGTTTAACGCTAAAGAATACCAGGAATTAAAAATGTGCCTGGAGGAGAGGAAAAGCCCAGTGTTTGGGGGAGAGAGGGGAGAGGAAGCCATGCTACTTCTTAAAAACAGACAAAGGAAGCTGGTAAGCCCAGGCAGGCACTGGAAGCCCAGAGACATCTTTCAAAACAGGGGACAGGGCCTCTTGCAGGGGGCTTCCCGCTAAAACACGCTCTCACGTGAAAGTCACAGGCCTCCTGGTTAGCTTTCTTGCTGATCATGCCTGGGGATTAGATGCAGTATGTAACTAATATTAAAAGAAAAAGAAGTAAAATACAAACATGAGGGCTTCCCTGGTGGCGCAGTGGTTGAGAGTCCGCCTGCCAATGCAGGGGACACGGGTTTGTGCCCCGGTCCGGGAAGATCCCACATGCCGCGAAGTGGCTGGGCCCGTGAGCCATGGCCGCTGAGCCTGCGCATCCGGAGCCTGTGCTCCGCAACGGGAGAGGCCACAACAGTGAGAGGCCCGCGTACTGGAAAACAAACAAACAAACATGAGATACAGACTACAAAGCTTCAAGTGCTTGAAGAAGATAAAATAATGGCTCCCCACACACAAATTAAAAGAAGAAAGTACTGTATGACGAAAGTGGTGTATAATCTTAAAATATTATTAATGTCTTTAGAGTTATATTGTCCTTTCATTTCAAAAAGACAGAAAGCTCTCTGGCAACCTTAGCATCCTGAGAAGCCATTTCACTAGGCTTTTAGCGTTAAGAAGCATAATCCCAAATACTTTGGTCCTAGCATGAACTACTCTCTCCCTGCAGCTAATTAGACTAATGCCTCTCTTAAAATGAGGTTTACAAGCCCATTTAAAGGGTAATATATTGCTTTCCTTGGATGAGACTTTCATCCTAATGGAGGCTCTAGTATATCCCCAAAGTAAATAATCCGACTCACCTCACTGTGTGCAAAACAGGGCTGGACTTTCAGTGACTAATATAAGACAGGGCAAGGAAGCCCCACCCCCTGAGAGGGCTACCCCGTGGGGTACACACGCACCAAGGGAGTCAGGATTGCGACTCTGGGCTTCCTATTCCTGTGGAAGCAGATGGTGGCAGAGTGGGGAGGAACGTGCTAGAAGGGGCCACCCAGCAGGAAAACCACGGTGGCCTCATTTTTCCTTCTCCCCCTCCTCTATGGATGTTTCTACAGTAAAACAGTTGTTTGTCTCATTAGAGGTCATGCTGTCTTTCATATATCCTCATTTATAGTCATGTTATTAACTTATACATATTTTCCATGTTGGGGTAAAAGGAACAACAAAAGTTAGCCTACCACCTATTACTCCATGAGGCTCATGTTTAATGTGTAGTGTTGGGAGGAGAATAGAGGACGCCCTGTGGATTCTAATCAATTCTTCCGTTTCTTCCTTTATTTCTCTTTCACCGTCACCTCCTGAACACCATCACTCCCGTCCCTTAGATCAGAGTTTTCCTACTTGGGTTTCAAGAGCACGACCTCTAAGAGTTGTTATTCAGAGCCGTGCGAACAAAGGTTTCATAATGAAAACAACTCTGGAAATGTTGCCTACTAACTCCCCCTGTGGAGGTTCACAACATATGTCTACTCTCGAAGGCTTTGCATATGAATGAGGTGAAAAGGAAAGTTATCTGATAGGACATCATGGTTAAATAAAGCAGCATGTGCTCAGAAGAAGTCTTCCTAGCTTGGGCATGCATTATGTTTTAGCCCCATCAGTTGGGCTGTCCTCAGTACAGACTCTCCTAAGAGGTGGTTGGCCTTTGATGTCCTCCTTGCCATCTGTAACCTGTAGAAGCAGAGGGTAATCAGTGAGATCTGGGTGACAGTCACATGTCTAGCTTTTATGCTACAGCTATTCTAAACAGTAGCCACAAGCCACATGTAGCTATTTATATTTAAATTATTTTAATTAAAATTAAAAATTCAGTTCCTCAGTTGCATCAGCCACATTTCATGTGTTCACATCACATGTGGCTTGTGGCTACCCTTTTGGTCAGAGCAGATACAGAAATTTCTACTGAACCTTGCTGCTATAACCCTTGTCAATCATCAAAGCAATCCTCTTAGCCTTCTCACCTCACCTTCTACATCCCCCATGAGACCGTGAGATTCTCTGACAACAAGGAAGGAGTTGTGTTACCTCTGATACCCAGCTGCTAGTCCAGGGCGCTGCAGGGAAGGCCACTCACAGAATATTTGCCTATAACATGGATGATCCCTTCTCTTTGCTCCCATAGCATGTACCTACCTTGGTCAATGCTATAGCATACTTTTTCCCAAAAAAACAATTTAATTGATTTCTACTGATTTTAAAAACAATACAGAAAAACTGAGAAAAGATAGTAAAAATCAACAGGTGATACTCTCACCTACAGACAACCACTCAACATTTTGGAGTATTCTCATTCATTTATTTAACAAATAGATATTTTTATTCACTGAGGTATAATTTGCATACGGTAAAATTCACCATTGTCGTGTGATGTATGTATGATGTATGATGAATGTAACCACCACTACAATCAAGATACAGAACATTTCTGTCAACCCCCAAAAGTCCCCTCCTGCTTCTTTATGATGACACCTCTCTCCTCACCCCCTCCTCTGGCAGTCACTGGTCTGATTTCTGTTCTGTAATTTTGACTTTTCAAGTCATATAAATAGACTTGTATATGTGGCTTTTTTAGTCTCCTTTCACTTAGCATAATGCTTCTGAGATTCACCCATGTTGTTGCAAATATCTGTTCATTTCTTTTTATTGCTGAGTAGTATTCTATTCTATGGATATACCACCGTTTATCCATTTTACAGTTGATGGACTTTGGGGTTGTTTCTATCTCTGGGCAATTATAGAATAGAGCTGTTATAAACATTTGCACACAGGTTTTTATGTGTACATGTGTTTTCATTTCTCTTAGGAAAATTCCTAGGAATTAGATTGTTAGTCATGTACTAAGTATATGTTTAATTTTATGTGAAATACCAGACTTCCAAAGTGGCTTTACCAATTTGCATTCCCATCAGCCATGTTTGAGAGTTCTAGTTGCTCTGCATCTTCACCAGCATGTTATATTTTCCAATTTTTTTAGTTGAGCCATTCTAATATGAATGCATATGTGGTGTAGCTCATTGTGGTTTTAATTTGCATTTCCTTAATAGTTAATGATGTTGAGCAACTTTTTATGTGCTTACACGTTGTCAATATCTCTATTGGTGGAGTTTCTGTTTAAATCTTTTTCCCTTTTTTTTTTTTTTTTTTTGTGGTACACGGGCCTCTCACTGTTGTGGCCTCTCCCGTTGCGGAGCACAGGCTCCGGACGCGCAGGCTCAGCGGCCATGGCCCACGGGCCCAGCCGTTCTGCAGCATGTGGGATCTTCCCAGACCAGGGCATGAACCCGTGTCCCCTGCATCGGCAGGCGGACTCTCAACCACTGCGCCACCAGGGAAGCCCCTTTTTCCCATTTTTAAATTGGGTTGTTCTCTTTGTATTGAGTTGTAAGAGTTCTTTATATATTCTAGATGCCAGTACTTGTCAGAAATATGCTCTTCCAATATTTTCTCCCAGTTTGGGGCTGGTCTTCATTTTCTTAACAATGTCTTTTGAAGAGTGGAAGTTTTTAATTGTGTTGAAGAACAAAGAGACGTTTCTAAGCACCTGCCTTTTGCTGAACTTTGATAGCACTGGAGATACAATAATGCCTAAGCTTGCATTTGTACTTTTTCTCTCTAACAAAGCAGGCATCTCTCGGTTTATAGCCTGCTTTTTCACTGTCTTACCATGAATATTTTTCACAACATTAAATATTATTCAAAAACACAATTTGTAATGAGTACATAGTACTCTCATGGCTATATCTTAATTAATTTAACTATCCCTCTCTATTTGGGGGTGTTTATGTGGACTCCAATCAATACTAAAAAGAAAATAAAAGAGAGAGAGAAATGTATGATTACCATCCCTTGCAGAAATCTCTGTGCACATCCCCAATTTTACTTTCTTAGTATAGATGCTTGACATTGCAAAGACTGAGACAAAGGCATCACACTTTGTCTTATAATTGCCTCCTCAGAAAAACAGCTGATGTCTTGAAGCAAAGATCTTGTCTTGCCCTCCTTGTCACGCGAGTATATGACAAAACCTGTCACATTGTAGGTGCACCATACAAACTCGATGGATAAATAGTTAGAAAAAGAATTCCACTGAGCTTGGTCCTTTCCCCTTCCTCCTGGGAAAGAAAGAGTCCCCTTAGCTGTCTACCTTGACTTCTCAGATGAAGGGAATAATAAGAAAGTTTTCTTCTAAGAGAAAACTTGCCCCCAATATGTAGGTTCCCAGAAAAGCTAGATGACAAGCCCTGTTGCTGCTCAGCAAAGCCCTTAAGGGACCCCGCCCCCAGCCCATATAAAGCCAGGGTGCAGTGGGGCAGCCGCACTCAGCCTCCAGAGCGCCGGCACTGACCCTGGCCCTGGCCCGCGCTATGGCAAGTGAAGTGCAAGTCCAGCTCTCCGCATTGAAAGGGGGGCATCCTCCTGCAGGTAGGCTGCCCACCTACCCTCTGTCCTGCAGACAGCAAGACCCCCTCAGCTGCTGTTGCCCCTCCTTCCACGCTGCGCCTTCCACAGAGGTGCCCCAACAGAGCAGAGGCTCTCAACCTCCCCTTGTTCCTTTAACTTCCTCCAACCTGAGTTCCTCCTGTCTTTGATCCTTTTAGGCTTCTGTGTAAAAATCACCTGGGGATTTGTCAGGCCCGGTTGAATGAAAACCTAATTCTATGTGGGAGTACAAGGGATTGGGCGCTGGTGGAAAGGAGCAGGTGGTGAGCTTGGACCTTCCCTCCCTGGCTGCAGGTTAGCAGCGACCCATTCACACCTGGAAGGTAATTTACTGCCATGGAAACATTCCTCCCTAGAGGTCCCAGCTTTCGGACTCAGTCTCCCGGAGATGCCTGTACGTCATCCGACTTCATACCCAGCCAATCCGGCTTCCACACTGAAGAGAGCAACCCAATTTTTCTCTCCCTTCTCAGGCTCTGGGGTCGGGCAGTGTGATCAGTAATGTCTTTTGTCTGTCACCAAGCTGAGGAGCACTTTTTAATAAGGACACTAGTGTGGGAGGGGTTGACTGGAAAAGGTAGCTATCAAGGCATTTTGCAAAGCATCTACAGTGCTTTTCTTTTTGTAAAAAAGGTATGCTATTTATATCCACTCCCTGGAATATGGAAATTAGTTTTATTGTACTTAACCATATGTTCATATAGATTGGCTGAGGCATGCAGGCCTATTTTTAGCTGATTTGATGCTCTTTTAACTGCCTTTCTTCTTTTTTCCTTAAGAAATATCTCAGCAACTTGACCTCTTTGTTCTTGCCTTTCTCCATTAATAAAATTCATTTACTGGTATCATTCTTTGGCTCCTCTGAGCCAAGATTATTTCAGTCATCTTTGCTGCAGAGGATGATGGCAGGTATAAACTTCACAAAGCATCAAAAACTGACACAAGGTTCAGTGGCTTTCTGGTGAGCAGCCCAGCCAAAGTCAGAATTGTTACTACTAATTCTGAGTTTCCACTTCTCAGCACCCTGTCCTGGTCTCCTGTGGCAGACTCCTGACTTTTTATGTTTGTCATTGGATTTAGAAATATGTAACATTATCTATATTTAAAATTAATGATGCTAAATAATGATCAAGAACTATCGATGCAAATTATTAGAAGTTTCTACACAAGGACAAAAGAAAACGCCATTCTCTTCCCGCCACTTCCACCCCCATCCTTCATAAAACAGTTCAGCTAACACTTGATTTGCTAAATGACGTTTATACACAAAGATCACAGAGATAAACTTCACCAAGTGAAAGTTTGAATGAAACCACCAGGAACTTTCTGTCTCCGCCACTAATGATTGCTAATTACTCTGTGTACATAGCCCACCGTGACGCCATCAGGCATGTCACAATGCCTCTGGTATGACAATTAATTATTATGAACTGTGACACTACAGATAAAAAGTTGGGGGTAATTAGAATGGAGATGAAGGAAGACTTCTGCCTCCCCACTGAGAACAAGGGAGCAAAGAAGCCTCATCCTTCAGCTTGTCTCGCTATATATTTTAAGTCTGAACCAGATAGCTACTGTACAAAATTGTATTTATAGAACAAAAATAATTCATTGCCAGAATTCCATTAAATTTCACCTGATTTTTATAGGCAATGGACAGGTCCATGAAAGTAGGACACAGACATGATGAAAGGTCTGTGAAAGGTCTGACATGGCCTTTGGAATCAGACAGTCCTGGATTTAAACCCCGCTTCCCTTACACTTCTCTGAGCCTCAGTTTTCTCATCTCTAAAGCAGGCGGTAATAAATAACATTGATAGTGTAAGGTGGTTATGACTATTAAAGGAGATAGCCTATGTAAGGTACCCAGCACATGAATGTGAATCCCTGTAAAATGCAGGCCTAGTAAAACACATAGCCATCAAAAGAAATGATTCTCCTCAATTGCAAGACCTCCTGATGTCTGCAGGCTGCATTCGGCACTACTGCAGTCATCAGAGCAGAAGAAAATTGCAGTGGGAAAGATACACATGCCTGCTCCATCATGGTTGAAAATGAAACCGCTCCAAAGTCGGCCAGCTGTAACTTTCCCACCTACACAGGGGGTGCTTAGTGGTTTTTCTTTTATGTATATTAATATAACATATTGTACCTCTGTGGATCCTGGCTATAAATTTATGCTGTAAAACAAGACTACATTAAACATGAGGCGGCCTGGGCTCTAGGAAGCTTAGCTTTTCTGCTAAGGATTTTCTGCTGCTTTGGTTTGCCTCGCTCTCAGTTTTTAAGAACTCCATTACCTGAACAGTCAAAAATGTGTGAGTCGAAGGTAATCCAAGGAGACCGAGTACATATGTGATGAACCAGAAAAAGCAGCAGTTCATGAGTTTTTGTATATTCCTTGCACTTTAATTTGTTTTAAGGCAAATGAGTCAGAGCCATCAAAGGGGTCACCACTGAGAACCCCCAGAGAGAATCCATTTTCTGGCTCATTAAAGAGACGGAAGTTTGGGGAGTGTATCCCCAAGGGTGAAACTAATGCAGAAAATGGGGAGGAAACCATAGCTGCAGAAGGGTTAGTATGGTTTTTTAAAAAGCAAACACCAGAGGCTTAATTCTCTCAACTCCAGTCTGCTCATGTCAACTTCTGGGAGTCAATCTGTGAGGTTCAACAGAGAGGTTACGAGACCCACTACCCCACAGGTCACAGGGACAGGGGTTTGATGGCAAGAACGGCTGCCATTCACTCAATCCTGTGTGACTGGCACTGCACAGAGCCTTCTAGACACAGCACCAGTACTGCAGACTGATGATGAACCCTCATCCTTGTTTCACAGAGGAGCAAACTGAAAATCAGCAAGGTCAAGGGACATGCCCAGTGCCACATAGCTGGTGAGAAGGGGCAGAGACGTGACAGTAAAGTGGGCCCAGGTCAAGCCCTCTCCCTCTGAAGCCCTCTCTCCTTGCTTTTCCTGATGAGAGTCTTTTGTCTTGACTGACAGTTTAGAATATGCCAAAAACTCAACGGTGAATGCAAAGTAAGCGTTTTGCAAACATCTAACCTTTTAATTAAAATCTTCAAATGAACGTTCTAAGTCACAAGGCAGAGTTTGCCCCAACCTCTGTGGTGGTCAGCTTTTTCACACACATTCTCCACTGATTAATGAGGGAAAGAAGCTCTTGCACAGTGTTTGGTAGAGGGTAGTCAAGATAAAGAAAGATAAGCCTGCAAGAAAAATTGTGCGATATAGCATTCTAAACTCAAGGGTCAACTTTCGAAAAGTTATAAACTACAAAAGCGGCCACAAAATTATACCTCTTACTCAGAGATAGGAAAGCAAAGTTTCATTTTCTCCACATCAATGTAGATTTTCTAACAAAACTATCCAAAACATCTCTCTCTTAACATTTTAAAATCTCTAGTTCATTTTGCGTATTGAAAGGACCTAAACATGGAATTATGTGATTACAAATTTTTTAAAATAAATTTATTTATTTATTTTTGGCTGCGTTGGGTCTTCGTTGCTGCACGTGGGCTTTCTCTAGTTGCGGCGAGCGGGGGCTGCTCTTCTTTGTGGTGTGTGGGCTTCTTACTGCGGTGGCTTCTCGTTGCAGAGCATGGGCTCTAGGCACACGGGCTTCAGTAGTTGTGGCATGCGGGCTCCACAGTTGTGGCTCGCGGGCTCTAGAGTGCAGGCTCAGTAGTTGTGGTGCACGGGCTTAGTTGGTCCGAAGCATGTGGATCTTCCCGGACCAGGGCTCAAGCCCATGTCCCCTGCACTGGCAGGCAGATTCTTAACCACTGGGCCACCAGGAAAGTCCTTTACATTCCTTTTACATTTCTTTTGGGATTTGTTTCTCTGAGTACACTATATTTTTTCAAAAGGGAGGGACATGATAGATTTTCTTTTGTAGGTAGGTGGGAAGAGTTAGAATCATAGTAAAGACCTTACAATAAAAATCATCTAGTTCAACTTCTACCAAATTCCCCAAAATCCTTCTAAAATATTCATGGCAGATACACTTCTTTTCTTTACTTTAACACACTAAGGGACCAGAGATATACTATTGTACTACACAATCTTCTTCACTTTGATTAACACAGTTATATGTAGCCAGACTCTGCCTTTCTGGAACTTTCATTCTTTGCTTTCCATTCTCTCCTCTGGAAAAACATAAATATAAATAATAATAACTACTAATTATTAAGTGCCTACCATGTGCCAGCTGCTTATGTCACGTCTATTCCCTAGGACAACCTAAACAATCAGTATTATTCCCTTTTGAAGGATGCAGAAACTGAGCCTCAGAGGAGTTTATCTTGCCCAAGGTCACAGGGCACAGGAGGGGGTAGAGCTTTCTGACCCTAGATAACATTTCCTTACCAGTAAATCCTTCCTCCTCCACAAGACAGCCCCTAAACTCCTTGAAGATGGTACTATAAGCTTCCCTTGAGTCTTTGCTTCCTCAGAAGCCATCTTTCCAGTTTTCCCAGTTCCTTGTCTGACACGGCTCCTTCTCCACTCTGGTTGCTCTCATCTGGACATTCTCTAAATTGTCTGTGCTCTTTCAAGTGAGTGGCACAGAGCTCAACATTTCAAAGGTCTCCTCACTTTTAACTATTGCTTATTTTAACTATAACAAGTGTGCTTCTATAGTTGGCTATAATAACCAGTGGAAGAAAACGTGCAAAAACAAAAGCATCAGAGAAAACAAAAGGAACACTAATAAGAAAGTAATTACAGCACTCCATGTTTTAAAAGCATTTGTCACAAGGAGGATGAAAGATACTGCTGGGAGAGATACTGAAGGCCCAAGCTCTAGGTCTAGACCTATTGTGATTTGATTCCTCTTGGTAGAAGAGGCTATGAACCACACCACTCCTCATACAGTGGCACACCCTTCTCAAGCAGTCTTCCAGAAAAAGCCACCCCTTGGTTTATTTCATCTCTGTATTCCAGGGCTATTCAGAAGGTGTTTCCACATTATTTCATTTCTGTCGCTGATTATTTTGTATGCCTTTTTTTCGTGTGTGTGTGTGTGTGTGTGTGTGTGTGTGTGTGTGTATGTGTGTGAATTTAAAGCAGACCATGTATGAAAATAGGATTTTTTTCCTGGACTGTATCTAATATACAGAATTCTAGTGAGACACCTTTAAAATCAATAAAAAAAAACTTGGTGATTCAAAATGACCAAGTGGAGTTTATTCCATGAACGCAAGAATGGTTTGATAGTAAAGTATTCATTAATATATATTTATAAAATTTTTATCTATTAATATAATTAACTTCATTAAGGTGAAAAACCATATTGTATACATGATGATAAAAAGGCATTGGATAAAATTCAACATGTGTTTGTAATTTTTTAAGCCCAATGAAACAGTAATAGAAAGATATTTCCTTAATATGATGAAAGAAATATATTTGAATATACATTATATATATTGTAAATATGTGTGTGTATACCCAACTAAGTATATACATCATACTTAATGGGAAAACACTAAAAGCAATCCATTAAAAATTAGGATGACAAAAAAAAAAAATTAGGATGACAAAGATGTCCATCATCACCACTATTTAATATTATTCTAGAGAAAGTAATATTATAATTATTTGCAGATTATATAAATTTTTTTTACCTGGGAAACCTAAGGGAGTCAACAAAAATATTATAAATAATAAGAGAATTCAATAAGATCTGGGTATAAAATCAATGATATTAATATAAGAACAACAATCTGTGAAAGCTATAATGGAAGAATAGACCGTCTCTACAACTACAACAGCAGCAACAAAGAGAAAATACTTAAGGAATAAACCTAACAATAAATGTGTAAGATTTATGTGAACAAGTTACTGAGGGACCCAAAAGAAAATGTAGAAAATGGAAAAGCATACCATGTTCTTGAATAGAGAGCAACCAGGAGTATAAAGATACGAATTTTCCCTTTAAAAAAAAATCTATAAATCTAAAGCAAGACCATTAAAAAACTACCAGCAGGATTTTTTGGAGGAAATTGACAAACTGATTCAAAAGTTCATGTGGAAAAATAAATAAGAATAGCTAATAAAATTCTGCAAAGAAAATGTAGCAAAGAAGGACTATCAAAATTAAAATATGTTAGGGACTTCCCTGGTGGTCCAGTGGTTAAGACTCCACACTTCCACTGCAGGGGGCATGGGTTCGATCCCTGGTCAGGGAACTAAGATCCCACATGATGCATGGTGTGGCCAAAAAAAAATTTTTTTTAATATGTTATAAAGCTACAATCATTAAAATAAAGTTGTAATGGCATATAAACAGAGAGATTAATGGAACAGAAGTCCAACAGGACAAATGGACCAAAAATGTGAACAGTTTATAAAAGAAAATACAACTGGCTTCTGAAACACAGAAATAAGCTCAACTTTTAATAAAATATTAGAAAGGCAAATTACCTTTCTTTTTCTTATTGGTTGATGAAGCCAAACATTTTCTAGTTCTCACTGTTGCTTGAGATATAGGGAAACAATCACTGTCATTGTGGCTGGTGAGATTGTAAACTGGTGCAACCACTGTGAAGGGTGACTTGGCAAGATTTAGCAAAATTTCAAATGCACATACTCTTAAGAATTAACAGGATCACTTCTAGGAATTTATCCCATGGATATACTTGCACTTGTGCAAAATTATGTATATGCAAAGGATATTCACTGCAGCATTGTTTGTGATAGCAATGGATTAGAAACATCTAAAATGTGCAGCGGTTGGAAATTGGTTAAGTAAACACAGAATGTTCATATAAAGAAATTTTAAAGCAGATGTTAAAAAAGAAAGACATTCTCTCTCTATATATATCGATAGGGAACTTACTCCAAAGTACATGACTGAATGAAAAGTATAAACAAACAAGATGTAGAACAATGTATGCTGCCATTTAATAAAATATATAGGTATGTGTATAGAATGTCTATCGATGAATACATAGGGACTTGTTATCGATAGCAGTATCTAGGGAGATGAACTGGAGGCTTAAAAATAATGGTAGAAAGGAGACTGCAGACCTTTCCATGATTTTTGAATTGTGTGCCTTATGCATGTACTATTACAGAATCAAAAAATTAATTAATAATAATTTTAAAAGAAAAATGATGAAGTCAATTCACGAGGGCATTGAGAAATAGGTTTTCCTATTTTTCACTCTGTTGGAGCCAGTTTTAGAAAATTGCCAATCTGACATTTCCATAAAAAGAATTAACAGGTTCAAACAAATCAACATCCATTTAGCTTTTTCTCATTTGAGCTTGTCAGATTTCAGATGTGCAAATTTCCTGGGAACAGAAAAAAGTATTTGCTTTGACTTGCAGTCTGAAATGGGCTGCTCCTTTTCAAAAGTTGATTTCATCTGACATTGTTAAACACTTGAATTGCTGTTAGGTCATCTGTAGCCTAATTAACATTAATTGATCTCTTGAATGGCAGGATTATTAATGCAGTTTAATTACTCATTAGAACATCTGAGCTCCTCCAACATCAGAGGTTTGGGGTCTGGGATGGAAGGTGGGCATCTGGTGGGATCAGAAGCATCTCTCTTGAATTAAATGCCTGTTACCACCACATGCCCTGACTTTTGGCTCATTCTTCAATCTAGCTTTTGAAAGCTTTGGTTGAAAAAAAATTTTGCAAGCTTTGCACTTTAATCTTGTGGGAAAACAGAAGGGTCACATTGGAATTGTCAGTTGCTGTCATGAAGAATGTAACTGGTTTGCTAATAAGAAAAAATGTTTTTCAGTAAAATGCCTAAGGGAATAAATTGTTATCTCCTCCCCAAATCGAAGGTGTAAACACCTCTGCCTTTTTTAGCCTCAGGTCCCCCTCTCCGAACACAGACAAGCAAAAACCTTAGCCCTTCTCTCCTTCCCACCTTGTTTGCCCAAAATATTTTTTCTTCTGTTATGCTAGTTCAGGGTACCTTTTGATCATGTTGTTTTAGATTAAAGTTTAGCTCTACAAAAAGTTCTGAAATTCTTCAAATCTACAGTAAATTCATACCTTGAATAACAAAGCAAACTTTCTCTTGCTGCCCTAAATATGACTCCCTTGTTGATGCTTATTTGTTTATAGTGAAAGCTGGAGGAAAGCGAATTTCCAAAAAACAAGAAATTGGCCTCTTGGAGAGACACACCAAGAAAACGGGATTCGAGAAAACAAGGTAGGGGACTGCTTAATTTCTTTTCCTTCTTCATCTTGATTTTTAAGTGACCCTACTGCCAGAAGTCAGAGGCTTCGCCGGATCTTAGGACAAACCAAGGCTCCCTAGGCACTTACTAACCAGAGTTAGAGGCAGCTGGCATGGTGGGGTGGGGTAGGGGTGGGGGTCAGCGTGGGAGAGGGGGTTAGCTACCCTCTGGAGGACTCTCTCTGCCCATCCTCCTCTTCCCTGCAGCCAGCGCAACTGCCTCCTGCTTAAAAAGCAAGGTCCTGAATGCACCCAAACAGGACTCACATCCCTGGATCTCATTTTCACCTTAGCCTTTAAAGTACTGTCCCTAAGCTGGCCTTGTGTTTGTAATATGCTTTCTGCTGAAGCAAATCTGAATTAAAAATAAATGTGCTTTTATTTTAAATTCCTCACTCAATTATTTAGAAAATAATGGCCACTGTATTTGGCACATCTGGAAGGAATTTGGATATGGAGGTTGTCTTCTCCCTGCTCCTTCTGCAGTAACCTTGACACACTGCACCTTTCTCAGAGCTAAGCAGAGAGCCATGGGCTGGATCTCATGTACAAGTGGCCCAGCCCCTCTATGCCTTGGGTAAGAAAAATAGTGCCTTCAAAAAGAAGTGAACATGTGAAACTAGCTCCTCCAAGTAGAGGCGCTTCAGAGCCTATTTCAGGATGGTTTCCATAGGTGAGCTCATGAGTGACTCAAAAGGAGTGAAATAGAGGATGCTCAGATACATCCTTAAGAGTTAAAATGGTAACAGTCTGAGAAAGAAAGTGTGGAGGGAAATAGGCTATGGAATTTCTCGGGGCTTTTTCTTTCTGTATAAAATTACTTTTTAGATCACTTTAAAAGTTTTCTTCTCAGTTTCTGGGAAGGAAAATTTTTGAGGATTTTTCTACTTTAAAATGAAATACTCTGGGCTTCCCTGGTGGCACAGTGGTTAAGAATCCTCCTGCCAATGCAGGGGACATGGGTTCGAGCCCTTGTCCGGGAAGATCCCACATGCCGTGGAGCAGCTAAGCCCGTGCGCCACAACTACTGAGCCTGTACTCTACAGCCCCCGAGCCACAACTACTGAAGCCAGCGTGCCTAGAACCCACAAGCCACAACTACTGAAGCCCGTGCACCACAATTACTGAAGCCCACGTGCCTAGAGCCCGTGCTCCGCAACAAGAGAAGCCACCGCAATGAGAAGCCTGTGCACCGCAATGAAGAGTAGCTCCCGCTCACCACAACTAGAGAAAAGCCCATGCACAGCAACAAAGACCCAACGAAGACCCAACACAGCCAAAAATAAAATAAGTAATAATAATAAAATATAATAAAATTAAAATATAAGAATTAAATTTTTAAAAAATGAAATACTCTATCCAAAATATATAAAGAACTCATACAACTCAGTAGCAGGAACGCAAACAAGCCAGTTTAAAACTGTGCAGAAGATTTAAATAGACATTTTTCCAAAGAAGATATACAGATAGCCAACAGGTACATGAAAATGTGCTCAACATTATTAATCACCAGGGAAATGCAAATCAAAACTACAATGAAATATCACCTTACATCTGTCAGAATGGCTATTAACAAAAAGTCAAGAAATACCAAGTTGTGTCAAGGACTTGGGAAAAAGGGAACCTCTGTGCACTGATAGCTTGTAATACACATTGGTACAGCCACTGTGGAAAGCAGTATGGAGTGTCCTCAAAACATTACAACTACAACTACCATGTGATCCAGCAATTCCAATTCTGAGTATTTGTCTGAAGAAAAGGAAACCCGAACTTGAAAAGATACATGCACCTCCACATTTACTGCAGCATTGTTACAGTAGCCAAGACATGGAAGCAACCCAGGTGTCCATCGACAGATGAATGGATAAAAAAATGTGATACACACACACACACATATATACAGAGGAATACTGTTCAGCCATAAAAAAGAAGGAAATCCTGCCACTTGTAACAACGTGGATGGACACTGAGGGCATTATATTAAGTGAAATAAGTCAGAGAAAGACAGTGCCATATGATCTCTCTTGTATATGGAATCTAAGAAGAAAAATAAACAGGACAACAACAGCAAAAACTCGAGCTCATAGGTTCAGAGAGCAGATTAGTGGTTGCCAAAGATCGGGGGAGAGGGGATTGGTGTCTGGGGTAGAAAATGGGTGAAAGAGATCAAGAGGCACAAACTTAGAATTATAAAATAATTAAGCCCTGGGGATGAAATTATAGCATGATGACTATAGTTAATGATACCATATTGTATATCTGTAAGTTACTAAGAGGGTACAGCTTAGAACTTCTCATTACAAGAAAAAACATTTAACTATGTATGGTGAGGGATGTTAACTAGACTCATTGTGGTGCTCATTTTGCAGTATATACAAATATCAAATCATTATGTTGTACACCTGAAACTAATGTAATATTATATGTCAGCTATACCTCAATTTTTTTTTTTTTTTTTTTTGCGGTACACGGGCCTCTCACTGCTCTGGCCTCTCCCATTGCGGAGCACAGGCTCCGGACGCGCAGGCTCAGTGGCCATGGCTCACGGGCCCAGCTGCTCCGCGGCACGTGGGATCTTCCCGGACCGGGGCACGAACCCGTGTCCCCTGCATCGGCAGGTGGACTCTCAACCACTGTGCCACCAGGGAAGCCCTATAGCTCAATTTTTAAAAATTTGCCCCTTTGGCATTAAGCTTTTGTTTCTTCTGAATCAGAAAATAACTATCGCATAATTAAAGCAAAGCTATAAGTCCTCAAGGGTGGGAGTCACATATTATTTATCTCCTGACCCAGCATCTAGGACAGTTCCTAGAACAGAGAAAGCACTCTGTAAATGACGTCACACTGTCATTGAATTGCCAGCTGGTTAACTTCAGAAACCTATCCTGCTACTAAAACCTGACTCAAGTGTAAGCCCTGTTTAGTGTGACACCGGTAAACACGCCTGGGCCAGGGGCTCAGGAGCTAGAGTCATAGCTTGGAAATGACCTTCTAGTTGACAGCCATGGACAAGTCATCCGTTTCTTTGCACCTCAGCAAAAGGGACTTACTGTTAATTCTAACATCAGGTGAACACTGCAGGAAGAGGAGCTGCCTAGAGAGTCATAAAGTGCTGATTGGAACCCTCTTAAAAAAAATTCAGGGCTTCCTTGGTGGCGCAGTGGTTGAGAGTCCGCCTGCCGATGCAGGGGACACGGGTTCGTGCCCCGGTCCGGGAAGATACCACGTGCCGCGGAGCGCCTGGGCCCGTGAGCCATGGCCACTGAGCCTGCGCGTCCGGAGCCTGTGTTCCACAACGGGAGAGGCCACAACAGTGAGAGGCCCGCGTACCGCAAAAACAAACAAACAAACAAAAAATCAATTGTTTTCTAATAGTCATTAAAAGATGGGAATTGGCCCACTACAGAACTTAAAACAGCAGAAAAATAGCTCTTTTGTCCTGTTTACCAGGGATAGATATAGGTATGTGGAAGCTGAATCTTATCGAATTGGAGGACCATTTTAAGGAAAAATCATACAAAATTGCAAATATGAAATGGCTAGGGTCCCTCCCAGGGCCTTGAAAGGAGACTGTGCAGTGAGAGGCCCTGAAGCTTCCCTAGCTCCCCCATGAGTCACCTCTGCTCTTTATGTCTGCTTTGTGAGTGTTTGCATGGATAGGATTTCCTCCTTTTTGTGGACAAACACATCCTTATATCTTCTAGGAGAATAGCTTTTGAAAAACATAGCGTAGAAAATAAATTTCTAAGCGTCATCAATCTGTGTCCATACCCCAATAACTTCTACGAACCAACACAAACCATCCAGAAAAAAGTATGGCAAGCGCAGAGTTCCCTTCAAGAAATTGCACTGTAAGCTCAGCCCTGATTGAAACTCTCCCAGCAAATAACTTGGCCCGAGAAAAGAAGCCAGACACAAAAGAGTACCTGCTGTATGGTACCTTTTATGATATACAAATAAAGTCAAAACTAATATATGGGGCTGTAAGTCAGGGTAGTGATTATTCTTAGGGGTAACTGGTTTGACTACTGTTACAAGTTTGTGAACGTTCACCAGCCTGTATGTCGATAACATGTGCACCTTTCTGCATGTATGCTGTACTTGGATGAAAAGTTTAAAAATATTAATGATAATAAGTTGGCCTGCAAAGCTTGTTGTAGTACATGGGCATACAGAGTAGGACTTTTTTTTTTTTTTTTTTTGTCTTCCAGAAGTAGCCAAGCAGAATGAAAGCTTAAAGTCCAAGTAGAAAAGCCCCTGTAAAAATGGCTTAGCCCTTTAGTGGGAAAGTTTCCATTTCTATGTGAAGTTTCTTTTCATCTTCACAGTGCCATTGCAAATGCTGCCAAAATACAGATGATGGATGCCCTGAACGATACGCTGGAGAAGGTGAGCCGTGGGGGAGGTGCATCACGTGACGCTCCCAGCCCGTATTCACCCAGCCTCCCATGCGATCGGGCTGCATGGGTGAATGAGCTGATGACCACTGGGGTGATTTCCAACTCAGAGGTTTGATGTCCTTGTGAAAGAATCTGCTCTCAGTTCAAGGAACACGAAGTGGTTTTGATGAGAAAAGCTGATGCTCCCAAATTCCTAGTGTCTATTTAATAAATCATTTCAAAAATAAGATAGTAAATTAAGCAAGAATCATGATGCCAAATTGGCAGAACTTGACGTTGCCATCCCAAATATTTATTGGAAATGCTGGCCTGTTGTTATAAAAAAAAGGCAGCCTGTGTATTGGGAATTCAGCCCTTTTTGAACTTCCTCCCCACCACTGCACTCCCAACAGGAAATGTTTGATTTGAGGCCAGGGTGGGTGGTGGAGGGTTGACCATTTGGGGGCTGGAGGAAGCCTGGGCACTGGCTGACTTTATCTAGTAAAGTCTATTTATGAAGGTGGTTGACCATTGCTATTTTTATTTCCGTATCTTGAATTCTTTCTAAGTAGCTCCGGAAACTCAGAAAATTCTTCCCACGTAGACAGTGGTTTAGTTTTGGATTCAATCTTTTGTTTTGAAATGTTGTAAGTGAGCTGAGTGAGGGTCCTTATTCTACTTCTAGGGGGCGGGTGCATTGAATTCAGGCATTGAAGGACCACTCTTTCTGCTGCCCCCATATATATTGAAGAGACAGGACTGGGCGGGTGTCCTTTGCAGAAGGAAGACTTGCTGTTATTACCAAAATCAGGGGTCTGAAAAAGATTAGAGTAGAAACTGTGCAGCTAGATTTCTGAGACCCCTGTTTAGCACTGGCTTCTCCACTTGCTACCTCTAAGGCCTAGAGCAAGTTACTGATCCCGTGCCTCTGATCTGTCATTTGTAAAATGAAGATAAGGAAGAGGATATATATATACTTCAGATGGCTGTTGAGTGGAATCAATGAGGTTCACACACAGGAAGTTCTTAGAACAGTGCCCGACACAGAGCAACCTGCCTGCATTCTCTGCTCTAATTAGTAACATCTGTTTCATGGCAATGAAAAGAAAAGGTGTGTCTGAAGCCCATGAGACAAGTAGTATCAGGCAAGATCTTAATGAAAGACGAAAGCTACAGAGCCTTCTCACGTAGGGGGGCTTGGTTCTCCCATCAGATAGATCGGAAGGGGTGTGGTCATAAGTGACTCTTTGCCTTCCTGACTTTAGAAGAAGGGCAGGGGTGGATGATATGACCTGCCATGCACATTCTCCGGCCCCTGCCCACTAAACGCTTCTTCCTCAGGGGCAATAGAATGTCCACAGTAAGTAGAGCTAAGTGGAATAGATATATTCCTCTAGAATATATGTTAACCCAAAATAAAATGTTTAAAGAGAGTGGTCAGTAAAGGTTGATGATGCTGTACTTTAGATATGATGCCAGAGCCTTTATTGTTTTTTATAGACACATGTGCATATGTCTATGACATAAAGGTTCTTTCCCTTTCATATTGTTCTTTCATATCACTTCTGAATCTCAAAGATAAACAGAAGAATCAAATAACAACAACAATAAGTTGTATTTAGAAATCATAAGAAAATATTGAGTTGGTGTGCTGTTACAAATATTTTTAACAGCAATTGTATCTATTTTTTTTTTTAAAGCCGCTTTAACACTTAGCTCCATGTCTACTGGCGTAGGTCTATGGCTAAGACTGCATAGATTACTGGTTAGAACAGGTTCTGGCATTCTGGCGAAGGATATCAGGTGCCTGGGTCCTATGCTGACTCCGTCACTTGCTAGATGTGTGTCTTTGGGCAGGTTTCTTCACTTCTCTGTGCTTCTGTTTCCTCATATGTAAATGAGAATGTGGTTTATAGTATCCACTTCACGAAGATGTTGTGAGAATAAAATGAAGGTATAGAACATGTGCAAAGGACTCAGCACAGAGCCGGACACAGTTAGCCTGCAGTAAGTGTTAGCTTCTATTCCCAGGGAGATATCCTACAGGGCATCACTTGGAATCCAGGCAAAGGATAAGAGACCAGCAATAAAATCAAGTCCCAAGATTACCATAAGTCACTGTCTTGAATATGGAAGTTGGTGGGATCCACATGGTCCCTTACAGCTAAGAAAAATCTTCCCTGAATCCATAATTCAACCTGGAGCATAATAGGATTTCATAATAAAAAAGGTCAACCTGGGGTGGAAAGACCAATGCCTTTTAAGAAATAGATCTGCTGAGATCAGTGGTTGCCAGAGAGTGGGAGGAGGGGTTGACCACAAAGTGACAGGAGGGTATTTTGGGGGGTGAAGGAACGGTTCTATATGTTGACTGAGGTGGTGGTCACAGATGGTATGCACTTGTGAAAACCCATAGAACTAAACACTAAAGAGGGTATCTATTTTACTGTAGATAAATTATACCTTAATTTTTTAATGAAAAGAAATGCATAACTAGCAGCAACGAAGACAACGCAGCCAAAAATAAATAAATAAATAAATTTAATTTTAAAAAAAGAAATGCATAACTATACAGCCTAATATAAAAAAATAAGACATATAAAATATAGAGATTTAGGGTTTCCCTGGTGGCGCAGTTGTTAAGAATCCACCTGCCAATGCAGGGGACATGGGTTCGAGCCCTGGCCCAGGAAGATTCCACATGCCACGGAGCAACTAAGCCCATGCGCCACAGCTACTGAGCCTGTGCTCTGGAGCACACTAGCCACAACTACTGAGCCCGCAGGCCACAGCTACTGAAGCCTGCGCGCTCTACGGCCCGTGCTCCACAATGGGAAGCCACCTCAATGAGAAGCCACCACAATGAGAAGCCCACGCACGACAAGGAAGAGTAGAACCTGCTCTCCACAACTAGAGAAAGCCCGTGCTCAGCAACGAAGACCCAGCACAGCCAAAAATAAATAAAATAAATTTATTAAAAAATATATATATATAGAGAGAGAGAGAGAGAGAGATATCTGATGATAAATTTTCATCTGCATTACAATGATTTTCCCAACAATATATATTGTCATGAAGATCTAACAATATATAACTGGCCAGAAGAAATATAGTAGCAGAAATGAGGGTCATAGCCTCTACATTTATTAACATTCCTTCATGCCCTCAGCTAGAATTATGTCTAGTTCCTAGAACCCATGTTAATTTTCATACCAGTTTAAGAACTTAGAGTCCAAAACAGTGAGAGTTATAGCCCTATTCACAGGAGCTCAGCAACCATTCAATCATGGCAGGAAATTTCTATCCATATGCCAATCATGTCTGGATACCCTACTTTAAAGCCAACCAAGGGTTTAAGATTTGGGAGATTGGAAAACAATTCCCAAGAGGTTGGAATTGTACAAATCTAAGTGGGAAGCAGCCTAACATTTTCCCTCCCACTCTTTCCCCCACTCATCTCCACACAGACTTCACTCCCCACTGCCTTTCAAGGTAGGTAGGACCCTCCCTTCTTCTCTAGCCAGTCTTTCTCACCTCTTCCAGCCCTAAATACTGAGAGAATTCATGTTGCCCACTGACGGGCCACATCATGTGTTTATTCCTGCAGAAGAAGGGTTGTATAACCCTAAAGCTCTCTAAGATAGAAATCTAGGAGACCTGGTCTTAGACAAAGTTCCATCTACCCCTTAGAGTCACATAGCTCCCCTGAGATCTACGATTGCTTGTTTACTTAATTATTTTAAGGCAAGGAATGAGAGAGAATGATACTGCCAAATATATTCATTCTCTGGATAGTTACAGAAGTTAAGTTTGGCAATAGTTGTGAAGCTTCTCCCAACATAAGAGTATCCAGTTAAACCATTAGTAATGGGGCTGGGTTATAGTGCAGACGGGGGTGGAATGTTGAAGCCTAGTTAAATTGGGGCCACTTTTCAAGCTGCCAGCTATGTCACCAGGGCCAAAGTTAGTGAGACTATGTGAAATGGGATCCTGGGGGAAAGGAAACTATCAAAGGCATCTGCAAATCTAAAAAGGTTTCTCTTGTTCTGTGTAGGATGATCCTTGAATTTCATTGACTCAAGCTGAATGTTTTGTTTTAAGCACTTTGCTTAACGGGGTGTGGAAATCTAAGTGCCAACGTTCACGTTGGAAGATAACACACTTCAAAGATGAATGGAAGAGCTGCCAGTCTTCTAATACCACCTGACTTCAGGCTCTAAAACAAAACCTGCCACTGACTTTTTAATTTCTAGAATTTCTTTCATAGCTCTAATCATAAAGACTTTTACCGTACTTCTTTGACTTTTTCTCTGAAACGAAAAATGTAGGCTCTGAGGTCACAACTACCCAAAATGAAGGTAAATTCTCAATGTGGAAGTTTCTATTGATCTGCTTTTCAAGTTCAATATTTTGCCCCTTATGGGATGGAGCCACAGCCAGGAAGAATCCTTACACATATCCTTCTTTCTCTTGTGGGATTAACCTAGATTCTTTTACCCTAATGAGTCAGACAAACACCTTTCATTCTACAAACCCTATCGTTTTACAAAGATTAACGATGAAAAATCCAAAGTGTCCCCAAAGTTAAGATGTCAGACTAAAGCACAGGTTGTAGGTTAGAAACCTATTCCTACTTACTTCCGGTCTGGACTTGAATATAAAATGTTCCTATCTCCATTGGTTTAAAATCTACAGGAAAGAATCAGGGCATTTAATGATTGACTATTATTTACAGTTCCATCATCTGAAGACCCTTTGTAGACTCTCCACCCACAACCCCCAAGTCTTTCTATATTAGGACGTTCCTGATTGAGGGGGTGGGGTGTTTGAGAAAGAGAACTTGACTCTCTGGTTGTATTTTCACCTGTCCCTATAAAGCCCTTACCCTCTGCAACTTGTACATTGGTAATTTAATAATTATGGGCAGTTTATCTAAGGCTCTTATCCTTGTCGGAATTGTTTCCACTATTTTCTCAATCCTGTTGATTTTTTTCCCCCTAAATTTTGCCAGACCAGTTCACAGATGGCCAACAGCCCCCCGGCGCAGTCTCCCATTCATTCTGATCTGTGGCATTCCTCTTTTGAGACGCAGTTGAGCAGAGCTCTTACAACCTCAGTTAAATGCCTTAGTTGAAAGGTAGCCCCTAACACTTGTGCATTCCTGGTGAGAATGTAAAATGGTGTAGCCACTATAGAAAACAATATGGCAGTTCCTCAAAAAATTAACTATTGAATTACTGTATGATCTAACGATTTTACTTCTGAATATGTAGCCAAAAGAATTAAAAGCAGAAATTTGAAGAGATATTGGCGCAACAGTATTCATAGCAACATTATTCACAATAGTTAAAGGATGGAAGCCACCCAAGTGTCCATCAGCATATGAATGGATAAACAAAATGTGGTCTATGTACATGCAATGGAATATTATTCAACCTTAAAAAGGAAGGAAATTCTGACACATACTACAACATGGATAAATCTTGAAGACATTATGTTAAATGAAATCAGCCAGACACAAAAGGACAAGTATTACATGCTTTCACATTTATGAGATACATGAAGTAGTCAAATTCATGGAGAGAGAAGGTAGGGTGGTGGTTACCAAAGGCTGGCAGAGGAGGTAATGAGGAATTATTCTTTAATGGGTACAGAGTTTCAGTTTGGTATGATGAAAAAGTTCTGGAGATGGATGGTAGTGATGGCTATACAACAATGTAAGTGTATGTATTGCTGCTAACCTGTGTGTTTAAAAATTGTTGAAATGGGAAATTTTATGTTTTATGTATTTTATTGCAATTTTTTAAATGATCAATATTGTAGCCCCTGAATTGCAGAGATAACCCTGGAAATGATCAAATAATGAGTTAGTGCCAATTTAAGCAATAAGTGTATCTTCACACACCGTTCTCCTCTCCCCTTTCCTTTCCCACCTCCACCCATCATTCCTCTGACACCTTAAGAGCAACAATCAACATTGTGGTTTTCTCTCTTCTTTCTCACCTTGTCATCTTGCCCCATCCATCTCACCTTGGCTAATTGCCCAGATTTCTGTTATATCAGAATTATTTGTTCATTTCCTTTCTCACCCCCCTTTACCTTACATTTGACTTTAAGTAACTTGCCCAGTAGGTCTTCCTACCTGTAATCTCTTGAATGTGATTTAGAGCTAACCTGAAATAATCCATATGTTTTAGTTGACACTAAAGACACCTAGTCTGGAAGAAAACTACTGAAGCCAATGACCTCTTAAGTTTCCTTCTGGTTCTAACGTTAAAAGAAAAACGAAACAAAACACTCTGCCCTTACCACACTGTAAAATGTATGTCATGTGGCCCAATGATATCTGATCTGACAAAAAAATAAATCAGCAGCTCTTTTGTTAGATTGTAAAGTAACACTTATAACCAATACCTCAATTATGTTTCTTCCTTTCTACTAGAATGCCAGCATAGACCGTCCTTGGGTTTAATTATTACATAACTTTTACCTTCTCTTTGTAAAAGAAAACTTTTAGAGAAACAAAGGCAAAGTAAAGAAAAAGACTAGGAATTGCCCATAATTCTACCCCTCAGAGATAATCATTGTTAACACTTCAGTGTATATTCTTCCAGTATGTTTAATTTTTTTAAGACCAAGAAGAAAGAACTTTCTGGAGCCAAGTTTCACATGAAAGGGAATGCTCAGGGACATTTGAGAAGTGATGTAAGGCACATCTGTTTTCCCTGGCTTAGAAGAGCCCAAACAAACCATAAACAGTGATGTTTGGGGTCATGAACAGTTTATCTCCCCTTTTATTTGAGTGTCAAGGCAAGGGCATCTAAGTTCAATAGTGATAAATTAAATTCCTGGTGAGCTGAGGCATCCCTTCCTTGCTGGCTAGGGAAGGTGTTCTTAGGTACCTTTATACTGAATCAGTGGGCTTGAAAACCAAGAACTGGAATGGAAATGAAAGGCCTCTGGGTCCAAATTCTCCTCCTAGGAAAACTATGCCTGAAAGACTTGCAACATTGGGCATCCTTTCCATCTTAAGCTGTCCTTAATGTAAATTCCATAAGGTCTCTTGGTTCCATATGAAATTCCTCTTATTGTCAAAGTCTCAATCTGTGTTAATTTAAATCTATTTAAGCTCATTTCCTCATAGATGTCTTCTGCAGAGATGACCAGTGAGAACTTTTGTTACCTGAAGCTAATATGTCATTCCTCAGCCTTCTCTTTACCAGACTGTTTATTTGAACCTTATAAAATGGCCAGTTTCACATACTTCAACCTAAAACTCCCCTAACTTCTTTCAGAGGTTCTTTATTTCTGATCTTCTGACATCTGAGGCGTTCTTCCTCCCCACCCCAGGACCTTCTTCAGTGTCCCCATGGCCTTCTTAGCATATAGTGTTTCGTATATGCATAGTAGTGCCAGAATAAATTCTAATATTGGAGGACTGATGATATTTCTACCTTTAAAAATGTCACTTCAAAACATATATATATATATAATTACCTTATATATAATATATTTTATAATTTTAAAAACTTAGAAACACACTAATGAGGGAAAACCCAGGTTAACAAGTATATCCATGGATACAGAGCTAGAGGTGGTATGGAAAAAGAAGATACTATCAAAGAAGTACAGAAAACTGTGAAATTCCTCTGACCAGCTGTTTTGTTTTCTACTACTTTAATGCTTTATGACCCAAAAGATCCAATATGCTCATTTTTTTCTTTCCTCCTCACCTTTAGCTCAGCCATAAATTTCCAGCAATAATGCACATGACACATCAAAAACCCAGACCTGCTCTGGAGAAGGTCACTCCACTGAAAAGGATCTACATTATTCAGCAGCCTCGAAAATGTTAATCTGGGATGTAAAACACAGCCGTCTAGCCAACTGCCTCTAATATCTGAGAGCTTAGCAAAAAGGACCGACTTTCCACAGGCCTAGTGCACTTTCTTGGTAAATAAAACAGCTTTTATATCTTCTCTTCTGACTTTAGGTAATAAAGCATCTGAAATTGCAAATCCAGTTCATTCCTGGGCCTCATTTTGGTCCTAGTCAGGATCCCATTGATGTTTACGCGTGCAATTTTGTTGAATAAGTGGAGAATCTAGAATACTGGACTACCCACTCCACCTCCCTGGATAAGCTCTTTTCTCCTTGATGTGGACCGAGTGGTTCCACCCACAGTGAGTTCTCCCTGAAGGCAAAGGTTAGAAAGCGGTAGAAAGCGGTACACTGAGCCTTGCAAAGGCCAACGTTCTATGCAAACGTAAAGAGTGATTCTTCTCAGTGTGTTTGTATAACATGCTCAAGTTTTCACTTGAGGTGAAATGTCTTTTCCAGTTTCCCACATAAATACATAGTTTGTTTTGAAGGTTTGGTGAGGGAAAATGAAAGTATTAGGTTTATTACAGACATATTCTCTTCTGCAAAGCAATCAGGTCGGAAAGTAGAATTCTAGTTTCAAGGGGAGATTTACTCAGGGCCTCCCACAAAGTTGATGCTCTAGAACTGAGGGGCCCTGATGCTACAGGACATTGTGGTTGGGGTATAGAAGTTGGTTTTAACTGGAGGTGGAGGTGAGAGGGAAACCTGCTGTAGCTCTTCTACCCTCCGACACACACACACACACACACACACACACACACACACACACTTCATATGCTCACAGGTGAATAGCCAAAGCATCCTCAGGTGACAGTAGGGGACAACCACATTTTTCTTGCCACAGAAGTTAGCTGCCACTCATAGTTCCACCATTCTGCACCTCTAACTAATAATGCTATCCAACAGTCAGCAGTTCTCTCTACCCAAGGAAGGGGTCAGCACTCCAGCCCATCATTTTACAGGTTGACAGCCCTTGGAGTATGACCTGATGCCAAGACCTTCTCTAATTCCTGGAAATCCAAAGGCACCTGGCGAAGGTCCAGTGGTCATGATGTTGCACCCCACCTCCTCTCCTGAATTGTTCGGCTCTTTTCAGGATTAAGAGAACTGTTTGAGACAATAGCCAGCTTCAGTCAGCGCCAGCATGAATCAATAAGGCAGTTAGTCCTGACCACCCCACGCTGGCTTAGCTCAGTTCCCAGTCCTCTGGGACTATTGTCAGAAATATTCCAAAAAGGTAAATGTTGCAAGGCAAATAAATGCACAGAAGTTCAAGGTCAGCCATCACTTCCCAGGGGACAGTAGCAAAGTATAAGCCAGATGGTGGGTACCAGGTATAGCATTGGACTGTGATAAGGAAACTGGGGTTCTATTTCTGACACTTACTAGGTCATAAACCTCAAGCAAGCCACTCAACCTTTCTGATCCTTGTCATACAAGCATAAGAACATCTGACCCCTCAGTTGAACCCTCGGAGTAGCATAATGGGAAGAAGACAAAAGGGACACAGGGATTTGTAATAAGCCATTTAAAGGGTATTGAGAGCAAGGTGATACCAGGATGATTGTCCTAGAAGCCACCAGAACTGTAGTAGTTGCAGAGAACTATGAGAGATGATACAAGCTGAACCTAGAATAGGAAAGCTGAAGATTTGGGCTAGATGACAGCAGGGAGGAAACTGGGGAGGACGATAAGACACATGGGAAGCAAAGATGGCAGCACTGCTACATTTGCCTTTCCAGAGGGTGATATGAGGGCCAACCACCCCAAGGAAATGCAAAGAGAAAAGGACGACATTCTCTGTGTCCTGAGACAGAAGGTGAATTGCAGGGGAATAGAGGCTGCTCAGAATGACGCTAGGCAGCGAGGACCCGCACATTAACCTAGGCCCACAACTGCAGTCACTTGAATCACCGAATCATAGGAGGAAGTTTGATGTGAACTCCAGATCTGAAAGGAAACTGGAATTATCTTGGAGACTGTCTTGGAATGACTGGAAATATCTTGAAGAAGAACCAGGCTGATAAGAGAAATTTGTGGTGATAGGGCTGCGCACGTAGAAAGCCAAAGGGGCTATTCCCTCTCCCTCCTGGGGAATGCAGCCCTGCACCAGTGGGCTGTGACCCCACGCAGTTAGAAGCCCCTATATGTGGTCACAGACCCAGCAAAAGCCAGGACGATGGGGGAGGGGGCATCCGTCAGTGAAGGGCTGGGGGTTTACTGACAGGTAATTTAGCTCATTCCTCCTCAGTTCAACAGGCTGCATCCTAGGCACTACCAAGATGAGTAAGACACTAGCCCTTGCCCACCAGGAGCTCTTAGGCCAAAGGGAAGTTGGCAAGCCAACAAACCAATATGGAAAGTTTAGAAATGGCTCAGTGGGGGGCGAGGGATGTGCTGGGGATGAGGTCACGTACAGGAAAAAAAAATGTGCTAGCTGTGGAGATCAATGACTCCCATGCAGATCTTTAATAAACAGACTTTAATTGAGCTTTTTATTTTGGAAATTTCAAACTTACAAAAACGTTCAGTGAATATCATACTGAACTGTCAGGTACCCATCACAGAACTTCAACAATGCAGCCAATCTTGTTTATCCGTAACACCCCGCTCCACCTCCCACTGCCACTTTTTCTCCCTCTTCCCTCTTTTCTTCTGGATTATTTTAGAGCAAATCCCAAACCTTAAATAATTTCATCTAGAAATACTTCAGTATGTCACCCCAAGAGATAAGTGCTCATGTGTGCATGAGTGTGCACTCACACTCTCTCTTTTTCCCTCTCTCTCTGTCTCTGTCTCTCTCTAAATTGAATTTTACAAATATGGTGGAGCAAAAGGGAGTATTTATGTAAACCATCTAAGAATCTTTCACCATAAAAAGGAGACTGGCTAGCCACAAGAGCCAGAAACCAAAACCAAAACACTACAGAGAGAGAGCAAGAGAGAGAATGCTGAGACAGGAACAGCCACAGAAATGACTGCTGTGGAATTTGAGAAAACAGTGAGAAGTGGAACTTCTGGAGGGAAAGTAGAAAATTAAGATAACATGCAGTTGTCAGGGGTTAACAAGAGGTACAGGAAGGAAGCACTAGGGAAATTAGTTCTTGTTGAGGAAGAGGATAAAGAGAACACTTAAACATAGCTAGTTCTGAGGTCACTCAGATTAAAAAAAAAAAACAGAGTATGATAGGAGTAAAGGAGGGTAAATAAATGGCAGTAAAAATTAAAGTCGATTTATTCAACAAACATCGATCAAGTTCCTCCTGTGCGATAGACTTTCTTTAGTTGGAACCCAAGTCCAAAGAGGCTATGGCATTTGTACATATTATGTTTTAAAATGAATGTCTAGGGCTTCCCTGGTGGCACAGTGGTTAAGAATCTGCCTACTAATGCAGGGGACACAGGTTCAAGCTCTGGTCCGGGAAGATCCCACATGCCATGGAGCAAATAAACCTGTGTGCCACAACTACTGAGCCTGTATTCTAGAGCCCACGAGCCACAACTACTGAGCCCATGTGCCACAACTACTGAGCCCACGTGCCACAACTACTGAAGCTGGCACGCCTAGAGCCCGTGCTCTGCAACAAGAGAAGCCACTGCAGTGAGAAGTCCGCGCATCGCAATGAAGAGTAGCCCCCGCTCGCTGCAACTAGAGAAAGGCCACGTGCAACAACGAAGACCCAATGCAGCCAAAAATTAATTAATTAATTAAAAAATAAAATGAATGTCTAGATGTCAGCAGGAACTGCCACTCCCTTCAAGTAAGATTAGCTCAGATGCCCATCCTGCCTCTACTGGATGTTCAAAGCCCTCCCCATGGTATCTGTGAGCCTCTAGGGGGCTACATTGTCATGGTCACTTCTGATTTCCAATAGATTTGTTCATTACTTGCTGTCCCCATATCCTACCACCCTGCTCTTGGCTTGGGACTTAGCCCTTTTCCACGATAAGCCTTACCAAAGATTTGGCATAGATTTACATCACAGGAACCAGACAGCTTCCAATAGAGTATTAGATAGCCCCACTCACTTCTCACTCTCCCGCAACCTGGATTTTGTTCACTGCTCATTGCACCCTTGGCAGTCTCCTATTCCTCACACCATCTTCCTGGATGCTTTCCTCTCTCCCACTCTCCCTTTCCTCACTCTTCTCCTCTCCCCCTCCTCCTGATTTCTATTCCATCCCAAATCAGCAATTAGTATTTCTGTAGTTGTCTCGACTCCAGAAAAACTACGTCCTTAGGGAGTCACCTTACCTCCAAATCATCTCCCTGCCTCCAGCAAGTCTGACATCAACTCTCAGGAGGTCAACATTTTCATCCAGATACAATAGAATGGATGAATGATCCATCAATTAATTAGTTAATTAGAAAAAGCAAAGTGACAGAGAACCTGAGCCAAGAAAAATGAAGCGCCAAAGGAAAGAGGAAAACTTGCAAAGGAAACATTAGAAGACTAAAAGAAAACGCACACATACACACACACATACACACACATACACACACACACACACACACACACACATGACTAAGGTGAGCAGCGCTTTAACTAAATGAGTACAGTATTTCATGAAATCCTCACAACAATCATGAGGGATGGTAGCTATCATCCCATTTTATAGATGAGAAAAATAAGTCTTATGGAAGTGAAGAGATTCCCCGAGGTTTTATAGCTTGTTAAGTGGTGGAACTTCTCTGGGAATCTTGTCGTCTCAAATCTAGCACTGTCTCCATTACCCCATAAGAACACAGGCTGGAGCTAAAGCTTAGAAATCTCCACAAAGAGAGGATCTGAATGTAACTTGGGCTTAAGAAATAGAGCTGAATTTGAAGAGAGAAATCGGTGTATGGAAGGACTGCTTGGGGACGAATCAAGTTCCTCAGTGGGAGAAGAGCCACCTAAGTTCAGATTTCCAGATTTTTGTTTAAAAGTTTGGAAAGGTCATGGAAGTCAACCAGGTTGGGAGAAAAGATACAGTTTTTAGATCTGAACCCTCAAAAGAAAGAATGAAAGCTAAAAAAGGAAAATGTGCACAGGATGCCTCTCCAGTGTGCAGAAAAGGCATGAGGCTGGGGGAGATGCCACATGCATCTTGGGAAAGGAGCTGGGGCAGTAGATAAACAAAAGGTGACCCCTTCA